TTCAAATCAGATACAGAGATGAAATAGTGCGGTAAGACCACGTTTATTCGAATGAATTATAGTATTTATTTAAATGAATTAACGATCGAGAGAGAGAGATGACAGTTGTGTGTGTGAATTACCTGCGTCTGTGCGTCTCTCTCTACAAACAATGAAACTGTTTAGTTACTTCGATTTTACCTTGTTGCTGGGGAAGATAATGTAGAGATCTAGTTTCTATGTTGTTTTATTAATAAAAGTCGCGGGGCAGCACTGACAATAAGTTTGTGTGTGCGCAGTGCGATCTGCAATCTCTGACCTCTCTTTCTCTCACTGTGTTTATGTGCGAGTGGTGTGTGTGTGTGCATCAATTAAAGCAGCGCATTAATATAGAACGGTGATATAGAACTGGCTTGGAACTACATGGAATGAATGAAAGTAAAATACTCTAAAAGCATGCACAGCAGTGCATAGTATACCTGTTGTAGCGCATTGTTTAACATTTGCAAAATATTCGTCCGGTCAGTCAGTGTTGCCGATTCCGAGCCGATCCTATTATTGCCAGCAATAATGTCACAACCACGCGCACACTCAGTCGTGTGTAAACATGTCGTTTCGCGTAGGAATGATTGTAATTTTAATTGCATTTAGTGTAAACGGCGACTGATAATGTATTTATGTAGTGCCAGATGAGGCTTGCACAGCCTGAGTGAGTGTGTGAGAGAGACAGCACATACAAAGTAACTCACAGAAATTTATAGATGCATACTGCGGTAGAAAAAAAAAAGATATTTACAAAATATGATTTAGGTAAGCAACATTATACGGCCATGATGTTTCCCTGAATATCAGTAACACGATTGCAATGTGACACTGATTTTATACATAGTATTTCAATAAACATGAAGTTAAAATAAAGTGACTTAGATTTTAGACAAAATATTGACTTTTTTTGCTCAATTTCGCTGACGAAACCCGTTCCGATCAAAGCCACAGCAGGACTGTTGTGTGTCTCCGAGCAACACAGCGGTGTTTCGTTACTGAATGAATCTACACGTTTTTGAACAAATGGAGTGAGTCAATGATTCAGTAACCCGCACATTAAAACAGACATTTGCCGCCACTTACTGGTGGTTTAGTCGTATTTAAAAGTATCATTGCGTTTTTTCAACATTTATTTGTGTTTAAAAAAATATGTAAAACATTAATCTTATGAAGTTATTTATGCATTTGAAATTTTGCAGTGTAAATGCATTTATGGCACCTCAGCTTCATCAAACTCTTGTGTAAATGCATCTAATGCCACTTCAGCGACTCATTTTAAGTTAAATATTTCTTCCTCTTTCCAGTCACAGAGCACTTTATTTTGAGAGTTGTTTAAGTGAGAGAAAATCTGTAACTTAGTCCAGATTGGGGGAATTGTAATGTTTAATAATTTCTTTGTAAATAATTTTTGCATTGAAATTTGCATAGATTTTTGTTTGTATATGCTGTCAATTATAGTTCTTAGAAAGAAAATCGGAATCGGCAAAAATCGGTATCGGCGGCAGGTCACACTTCCAAAAAAATCGGAAATTGGAATCGGTGCATCTCTGATTGTTTTGCGGAGCTCAGCGTTTTGCTTTTTGTGATTTTAAAAGACAAATATTTTGTCATTGAAAGTTTTTTTTAATTCAAATATTGTCTCATTCTAGTGAACCAAGTATCTGTATTTTGTCTCATCTCGTGTGCTAAGTGAATATTGTCACACCTCTAGCTCTAGCATCCATGAACGTGATCTAGCTCATAATTTTCTAAGTTTATGATGAAGCTTTTACTCTTCAGGTTAATCATATTCGTAAAAAAATCACTTTGAATAAGGAAATTGATAACTTTGCCATAGTATCCTCTCAAAAGTTAAAGTTGCCACAGTCATTGCGTACTTTGCATGTGCTGCACGTTATTTGTACCATTTTGTTTTATTCGTTTATTTATTAGAATTTAAAAGATAATAACGATATTGTGATCTCTGATTTTAGTCCTTGAAAACCAAAAAAGTAGTGCTCAAAGTCCTTGAAAGTCCTGGAATTGTACGAACACTGTGTGTGACTGGGGATCGTTTTGATCGTCATCTGTCCGCAAAACACTTTTAAAAAAAAAAAAAACCCGCAAAGGAAATTGTCAATATTTTCATATATTTCTTATGTAAACATATCTTTAGATTTCTTTAACTGCCTTCTTGAGTAACTTGTGTGATTTTTAGATTATGAAGTGCCATAATATAGTCCATTCACAGTCTAAACTTTTTCTTATTCCTTCCTTCAGGAAAGACCCACACCATGCTCGGCAGTCAAGAGCAGCCGGGCATTATTCCCAGAGCTGTCAAGGAGGTCTTCAAGCTGGTTGACGTTCAGGAAAAGGAGCAGGATGGTTGGGAATACTCAGTTGGGATGTCTTACCTTGAGCTCTACAATGAAAAGGTAATAAGTTTTGAAAAATAATTTATTTCTGTGGGAAAGTAGTGCTCAAAGTCCTTGAAGTCCTGGAATTGTACGAACACTGTGTGTGACTGGGGATCGTTTTGATTGTCATCTGTCCCCAAAACACTTTAAAAAAAAAAAACCTCAAAGGAAATTGTCAATATTTTCATATATAATTCTTATGTAAACATATCTTTAGATTTCTTTAACTGCCTTCTTGAGTAACTTGTGTGATTTTTAGATTATGAAGTGCCATAATATAGTCCATTCACAGTCTAAACTTTTTCTTATTCCTTCCTTCAGGAAAGACCCACACCATGCTCGGCAGTCAAGAGCAGCCGGGCATTATTCCCAGAGCTGTCAAGGAGGTCTTCAAGCTGGTTGACGTTCAGGAAAAGGAGCAGGATGGTTGGGAATACTCAGTTGGGATGTCTTACCTTGAGCTCTACAATGAAAAGGTAATAAGTTTTGAAAAATAATTTATTTCTGTGGGTTTTCACTAGCCATTACGCCAGTCTTCAGTGTCACATGAACCTTCAGAAATCATTCTAACATGCTGATTTGCTGCTTTAGAAACACCTTATCAGTTGTTGAAAGTTTTTACTGGTTATTTTTATTTTTTTTGTGAAACCTGTAAAACCTTTTTTTTTTTCCAGGATTCTTTAAATGTGAACGCTCAAAAGAACAGCATTTATTTAAAAGAAAAAAATTTTTTTTAGCCTTAATTTTTTTACTGTCATATTCTTGTGAAATTAAAGTATTAATCAAAAAATCATTTGAATGGTAGTGCAAGTATAAAGGCCCGTCCACACAAAGCACGATAACGTTAAAGATATAGTTCTAAAAATCGTTCTCACTATTAAAGAATAGCAGAGTCCACACCACAACTATAACGATAAAGACAAAGAGAAACGATATCGTTGGAATCACTTTCAAAACGATTTTTTTTCCAGCTGATGAACGATAAAAAAATTGACAACCAATCAGAATCCATCCTGCTGTAACGAGCTTGAGAATTTAAAGCGGCAGACGAGCATGCACTTAGAATAAACAGACGATATCGTTCGCTTGTGTGGACGCTAATATCGTTATCTTTATAGTTCTCGTTCTTGGTGTGAACGGGGCTTTAGTGTTTGTGGGCAGCTGTTCTGGAATATTGAAGGACTTTGTATCTGTAGGTGCTGGACCTGTTGTCCCCAGGTTCCCAGGACCTGCCCATCCGTGAAGACAAGGACAGAAACATCCTCATTCCCGGGCTAACGCGCACACCGCTTTTATCCTTTACCGATTTCGACACTCATTTTATCCCCGCGAGTCTAAACCGCACCACGGCCTCTACTAAACTCAACCAGCGTTCCAGCCGCAGTCACGCTATCCTCCTCATAAAGGTTTGAGCATGCACACTCCTCTTCATTCTAGTTCTCCATTAGCACTTTAACAGGTCCTGGTCTCTGTGTGGTAGACCATGATTTGGTAGCTGGTGCTGAAATGAAATCTCTCCATCAAACAAATATCAGACCACTATAGTGTCTGCTGGTTGTATTTGGGAGAGAGAACACAACACTCGTGGTAACATTGTATATGTAGGGCCTTATGATTTCTGCGATGTGGAGTCCAGTTATAAAAATGGATTTTACTATATAATGCGGCATGTCGCAGAATTTCTAAATTTGGGCGATTAAATTTGAAGTAGAGCCAGTACCCTTAATCTGATTGCGCTATGGACTAGTGTCTAAATATTAAATTGCAAAAGACTGCTATTTACGTATGTCTACTTGTTTTGTGGCATAAAAATACAACAACCTGTCAAAATAGAAGTTTAATTAAGACAAAAATATATTGCTACTGTACTCTACAATGCATGGATCAGTGATATTAGTAATAATACGTTTTGTTTTTTTAAG